AAAAAAAAAAAACAAAGACAATGCCAAAGCCATAAACTGCTGCTAAATTGATCGACGATGTAAATAGTAGGAAAAGACAGAAATTAAGGTGCAGTTTAACCTGATTGGGCACGAAGCTCGAACAACTGGTTCTGTGCAAACTCATGAAGCTTTCGCATGGTGGAAACACTTTCTTGAGCTTGGCGTAATTGATCTTGCAACATTCGTTCCCTGCCATTGCAAAGTTAGGCAATATTGCTTACCATGACAGGAAATGATTACTTTACTAAAGCTAGTAATATCACAAATAAAGTTCAACTTTCATCTCAAATCACAGTGTGTATATAGTACCTTTCTTTAAGAACCTCCATAGTTTTTTGATTCTCCTCGGCCAAATTGCGTTGCTTAATTTCAACAATTTCTTTCACTTTTTCCTCCATCTTAATCGAAATCAAACACACACCAATTAGCACCAACTAAATCATGATTGCTTATGCTAGTTGTGTTCACGTACTGCACCATGGATGGATTATTTAAAACTATCGTATATTGAATAATCACCAGTGTTCTGAATAAAATCCAAAACACGTATTTACATGCATTAACAATTGATTTTTGTTTTCCCCTAGTAAAACTAACAAGTTTGCATATTTAATTAACAATTGACTGCTGATGAAAAGAAGAGTTTGCTTACCATAATCTCACATATTTTACCACCCCTGTGTGACTACATTGACGTCACCCATAATTGTCCCATATTGTGAAGGATCTTGTCTATTTACACAACTAAATGTCCATAGGGACTACCTATGTTCTTCCATACATTCACTTAATTTTTCCAATTGTTACAAAAGTAGACGTGAACCATATTATGAAAGTCCAATTTGAATTTGACGTGCGCTAACTACTATTGGAGGTCAATCTGTTCCAGGATCTAGATCATACTGTCATAAAAGTAGTTTACTTATTTAATCTACACAGCAAGGTAACTGCACAAGTCAAAACTCAAGAGAGTTAAGTACTCCTTTGTGGTCACAATAACAAATTATACAATCACGGAACATGTGAGAGCAACTATAGATACTGACAGAAAGAGCCTAACAAAATTGTTGGACAAGCAATAACCTGTTGTTCTAACTGGCGGGTTCGCTCCTCAAGTCTTCTTATCGTTGCCTGTTGATTCTTCAAATGGGTTGATTCAGTGCGGAACTCTTCAAGCTCAACCTTCATCTTTCTATTTTCAGACTCTAGTTCAGACAATCTGGCATCCTTCTCCTGAAGAAGATAAAAGATACAAAGGCTCTCAAAAGAAAAAATACTCACAATTTGGCTTCATTGATATAAAAATTATGAGGTCCTGGAGATCCATTACACAGGATAACAAATATCCAGGTATCAATCACACTGTCATGCTGACATTGTTTCATAGCATAAAGGAAGTTTGTGGATGTTCAGTTAAAATAAACATATTAAGTCTTTTGTAATTGACACAAAGAAACTCGTATCTTCAGAGTTCAGACAGTGGTTAGTAAAAAGAGTACATACAGCAATTGAAGTAATAACAGGGTATGGATCCGGTGCTTCGTACAGTTTCTGGTAAATGTTAAGAAATGCATTTTCTCCAAATTTCGCCCTTTTGGTAAGTTTATCAACCTCTTCTTGATAACCCTTGAGTAAAGAGTTGAACAAAACCAACTTCTCTTCATTTGAAGCCTTCTTGAAGTCTGGTAGGATTTAACTCCAAAAATGAGTGAAAACTGAGTCAGATAATCATCCGTAATCTTGAGCAACTAAAGGGGATATGACCAATTGATAGTGTGACATAAGTGAAGGGAAAACTATAGAGACTTGCATGATCCGATAGTGAAACAGTATTAAGTACCTCTGGTGCTCTCTGCAAGCTTACGACGGTTTTTTTGACTGTTTTCCTGATTTTCTGCTATTCTTAGCCCTTGTTCATCCAGAATGGTCCTTTCTTTCTCTAAATCAAAATCTGGAAGGAGACAGATGGTACATAATACAATTTGGACATCAATAATTTTCTTACTTAAAATGAACACAAGCCTATACTTTCAATATAATTCACAGAGAGCCAGAGTAAATAATAGAAGAGAATATGTTCTTCACGGATAACGAATAGAGGATTTTCAGAGCAGATTTCATTCCATAGCTGCTTATGTAATCTAATTAGCATCGCAAATTGATTAAGGTGCAATAGGAACATGGGCATCCAGAAATGAAATAAAAACATGCAGCAATAAACCCAGATTTATCCAGGAATGATTAGGAAGGAAAAAGGGAAACAATGACTATCCAATGTATATTACCTAAGAAATATTGTAGAAGTTAGGCACATATGCATGTAATAATGAATGAATACAAGATCTCCATTAAACCTACCTTTCCAGAAAGTAGCAACAGCAGATAAAGGAGCAGATAAAGTGGTAGAGGATGACGATGAGTTGACTTTTTCTCTATCCGATCCCCCTCCTCCTTGTGATGCTTCCATTGCTGATCTCAATGGGCAGTCCCAATCTCTAAGTATCTAAACTGAATTTAACAATTGCTCTGTAAGCGAAAGACATGCACTTCACTGCCAGACAACTCTACGTATTCATGGAACAAACTAAACAGTAAGCAAAAAATAGTAAAACAATATCAAGCGACTAACGTTAGGCCATCAAACAAAAGCATATGTGCAATTATAAAATCTATCATAGGAACGACCCTAAGCTCAAACGGTTAGGCTCATGTGTCCCTGTTTTGTGCTTTGGACTGACACATCAACATACAGACTAGGAAAGTTTCAAAACAAAATAACTAACAAAAACCTTTTTCCTCTACAGATTTAATGTAACCATATTCACTTTTATCTATCCTTCCACATCAATATTTTGAACAACAACAAAAAATAAAATCTTCCAAATTTCCTTCTTCACTCCCCCAAATTTGTTTCATCAAAATACACAAAATATAAGAACAAATCTTCTTCTTTCCGTTCTGCGTTCAAGACTCATCAAATACATCTACTCTTTGATTAGAAGTTTCAGACTATTATCCAACAACTCTGATCCAATTTTGGTGAAAGATGGCAGAATTTACAGTAATCAATTGACGCATAAAAGCAACCCCAACAACGAAGCAAAAATCGACACACAATTTTCCTTGATCGAAATAACAAGATCAAATCTTCCAAATTTCCTTTGTCACTCCCCCAAATTTGTTTCATCAAAATACACAAAATATAAGAACAAATCTTCTTCTTTCCGTTCTGCGTTCAAGACTCATCAAATATATCTACTCTTTGATTAGAAGTTTCATACTATTATTCAACACCTCTGATCCAATTTTGGTGAGGGATGGCAGAATTTACAGTAGTCAATTGACGCATAAAAGCAACCCCAACAACGAAGCAAAAATCGACACACAATTTTCCTTGATCGAAATAACAAGATCAAATCTTTACTGTAGAATCGAGATAATTACATATCAAATAAGAATGATACCAAATAAAAGCAGAACAGAGAGACTTCAAACAGAAATTAAAAGCTAAAAAGCGAAAACAAAAAAAATAAGGAAATGAAAAATCATCGCAGGCCAGAAAGATTATGAGGATTTGATCGATAATTAGTAGCAATGACATAAAATTACCTAGGATAAGAAAAACTGAAGCGGATCTTCAGAAAAGACCTTTTCGATGACCGGAATCGTACGTGAGAAAATATCCTGTCGCCCAGAAATCTGTCTGTTGTCCTACACAGAAAGAGTGAGAGTGCTAGCCTGTATGGTTGTGTTGAGTAAGATGTAAATGGTACGCGCCTCAGATATGGCTCCCGCTCTCCGGGATCTTCACGAGAGAGAAAGTTGGGTCGAGTAAGACATGGGGAGTGGTTTTAGTAGCTCACACTAGGTACACAAAATTCAGTAAACCGAGTCGAACCGATCGAAATTGAAGTCGAAATCGAATATTTAGTCGATTTTTGGTTTATATTTTCTTAAAATTCAGGATTTCAAAATGTCTCTCAATCTTCGGATTGTGATTCTCAAAGAAAATAATTTTATTGGAACCAACTATATTGACTAAAAAAAGAAATATGATATTTGTGTTAATTGCGGAAAAGTAAAAGTATGTACCCACTGAGCCTTGTTTGGATGTGTCATGTGATGAGGCAACGGATCAGGAGATAGTAATAGAAACTATTTCAAAAGTGTATGAACCTCTCCAACGGTGGACATATTTGGTAATGAACTTAGTGCCAAATAATGGGTAACCATAGAGTAGTTTTAATTGTGTTCATCCCAAAGAAGGAGCCACTTTTATTTGGCCGCATAGAGATTACGACCGTAACCGAGACCCTTTAATTGGCGGGTGACCTTCTTTGGAATGGTGGACATGAGATAGGTCGCAATGGTAGCCCCATCCTCGTGCATCGCGACCTTCGAGGGTTGCTCGAGGGTGACGGTTCTGAACGTCGGATTCTACTCAGGATCATCAGATATCTCGACTTAGGCTACTTAGTATCGGGAAGACTCATGGTGATCTCACGGGACTAGGCTACACCGGAAACAAGCATGAAGATTCTCTTACCTCATAAGGTGTTGCTTCAATGATTGATGATTTTTGAGCTTCAATGACCTCTAAAACGGCTCAAGCATTTAATTTGCAGTCAAGATTGGCTTCGTCATAGTCTAAGTCATGGTTCGGGTCCTAGATCTCCTTAGAGAAGACTTTGGAATTTATTGAGGAAACTAATCAAGGTGATAAAAAATCAAATTTTTGGTTAAGTTGAATTATTGAGAAGATTAATTATTTAATTCATTAATCAATATCCAAACTAGCCGACTTCTGGTTTTTCGGTTAAAAACCAATCAAACCATATATTTCGGTTCGGTTTTCAGTTCCTATAATGGATAAACTGAATTTTTCGTTAATTGAAAACTTGGTCGGTTTGGTTCGGTTTTGAACGAATCAGCAACCCTAGCTCATAGCCTCATAGCTTATCTACCTTGGTAAGTTTCTTGAATCAAAATAAATTTTGGATAGGTTTTAGGTTATGTTTGGTAAATTTACTTGAAAAATAATTGATAACATCCAAGTTAATTGATAATTAATAAGTGAAATTTCGAGTTTACAGATTATAGCTAAGAAACTAACTAATATGATAAAAGTATTGGCAAAATTATCTTATAAGTTACCTAAACCTAAGGAAGCTTATGACTATGTTTGGTAAATGTAGCTACAAAACTAGCTAATAGTTGGTAACTTATAAGTTGATTTTTCGCTTATGAGTGTGCTTGGTAAGCATCACAAGCTTCTTTATAGACATTTCAAAACGTGTATGGGGGCAGAGCGGGGCGGGCCAGCTCGCATCTTGACGGGCCCACTCTGTGGCAACCCAATCTGCTCTCGCCGCGGGTCACGATTTAGACAGTTTGGCCGACCAAGAAAGAGAAAGAAAAAATCTTAGAGTCCATACTCAAAAGGTAGAACCATTTTCTCTCACTCGTCGCGGGACATGATTCAGACAATTTGGCCCGCCAAAAAGAGAGAAAAAAAATCTTAGAGTCCATACTCAAAAGGTAGAACCATTTTCTCTCACTCTTGTGTGTGTGCATGCGTGTGTGTGTGTGTGTGTGCATGTGTGTGTGTGTGTGAATATATTGAACCATTAAAAAAGAAAAACTTTCAAAGCCAGCAATTGTGAGGAGGGTCTTGGAGTGGCTCCTTGGTTGGTGGAGAGGGCTTTTCTTTAGTAGTCGTTTTGTTAGTTTTGTGGTGTGTTGTTGTCTCTTTGTTTAGTTGTGTTTGTTTTGTTCTGTTTTTTTTT